AATTCATGTATTCTGTCATCCTAATCTGATTTCCAGATACAATTCAAGTAGGTGCAAGGGTCTGTACCAGCTCATTATGTAAGCTCAATATAATTTCAGGCATGCTTCAAAGAACAAATGTTTGGCAAATAGATATGAACTGATTTTTATTCTAGGACCTTGAGCCTGAGAATTGCTCAGCAAACCATTTATCTCTGTGGTTTTCAAGGACTTAGAAAAACTGTTTTATTTTAGCCAAGATGTCTTTCTTAGGTAATTTTTACACTGACATGTCAAAACAAAGCTGTTGGAGTTTAAATATTTAAGCAATTCTCATATGTCAATATATTTGAGGGATTCTTTTTTCCTTTCTTTTATATCATAACTGAGTATCTTCTTTTTGCGACACGAGTTATGATTAAAAGTTGTAGAAGTTAATCGAAATTACTCATTAACTCAGAAGTAAAGAAATGGGCCCTGCTGTCTGTGACCTCGTTCCCATAAGTTTGTGAGCTTTATCCCCAGTTCCTTTGCTGGAGACCATCACCTCCTGAGTGGTTAAATGTCTGCAGTGAGCATTGTTAATGCAGTGAACAGATGTGTGTAATAACCACTTAATGTTTTGCTAGGTTTTGCAATGGAACAGGTATGGTTACTGCTCCTGCTGACGATTAAAGTGCTTTCGGTGACTGCTCAGTTCAATGGATACAACTGTGATGCTAACCTCCATAGCAGGTTTCCTGGTAAGTGTTTAATAGACTTTTTTCTAATGGCTTCTTTATTGTCTTGGTTCAAAGCAGTGCTTATTTTTAAATACAGAACTTTAAATCTGTCTGAAGCCTGGGGGTAGGACTTCACGTTAAGTGAGTGTTGACTATCTTGGTGACAATGAACTTCTCTAATATTGTACTTTACTTTCTTCTAATTGCACAGTGGGCAGAATTTAGTGCCTCACTTCAACACTGAGTGCTTGGTTAGGGACAGGTGAAGCAATGGGATGTGTCTATGTGTGATATATCCTCTTACCTCTAAGTAAATAGAAACTAAGTAATTTTTTTGGATATTGGATGTTCAGAGCTGTTAATACGATGAGAAATAGAAATGAAATGTCAGTCTCAGTGACATGTATCAGGGTTTATTCAGCTAAACCATCCTTTTAGTCTCTATTACATTGCTTAGCCTTCCTGCTTCAAGTTGTATTTTGGGCAGAATAATAACAGTAAAAAAAAGGCTGTGAATACTGGAATACTGTATCACATCTTGTTTTTCTGAAATAGCAATTGAATAGTTTAGTAATGAACTCTCAGTATAGTATTATGCTGTAATACCTTTTGTGTTGCTGCTTTCTAAATAATAATAGTTTTGATGGTGCTGGTTTGTTGTGTTTTTTTTGTGTTTTTTTTTTTTTTTTTCTTTTTTTT